TTCTTCATTCGTTGACGTCGACGATATGCTACTTCTTCGGGATTTGCAAAACTACCACATGACATCATGTTTCTCCATGGTAGTTTGCTAACAAAAATATTTCAAGTCGTCACTGAAGTGCAGTGTGCGTTGAAAGGCTTTTTAAAGTACTTTTGTCTAGTTTTGAACGCGACATTCGCGTCAACTTTTCAAGTAGTGTGAGTACGGCCTAAGGACCTGCTTTCATACGCGACATAACGGTATTTTAAAGGAAAGCTTGTCGAGAATTTTGGGCTTCTAAAGCGAAGTGTCCATCCAGATCTGCACTGCACGGTTAGTGTCTAGCGCTCTACTCTCCTTGTGACCTCGGATTGACTTTGCAATTGTGTTAGTTGTGTCGGGTAGGGTACATTCCGCACCTCCATTCTGCATTAAGCCCTTTGTGTTGATTTACCACATACATGTGTGTGAGTTAGTTGAGTGTTCACACCTTGGCGCCAGTATCTTGCCAGTTTAGTGAAGACAACGGATGACGAAGACATTGACTTCCTGACGGCAAACCTGGTCAATGGTAGATAACCGAAGTCTTACGCGCAGAGGCTGAGTGGTTACGGGGTTATGCAATCGCAAGACTGCGCCGTGCAATGAGAGGGGTAGTAGGAGTTTGCGTGATAGCACAGTTTTGCCCGGATCATGGCACGGTACCACGTACTCCGAGCCTAAAGACTCAGCGTATCCCTATGCCGCGACAGCCGTCTTCCTGCGTTCTGACAGTGTCTACGGGATATGGGAACGCCAGTTCAGGTCGTCGTAGATGGTAACACCAAGGTAATTTGCTGAGGACACCGTGGCAAATTCCTCCCTATTACAGCGTACGAGAAAGAGCGAGTCTGGCTGCTCTCATGGCGTTTCGAACATGATTTGGGTTTTTCTCTAGTCAAAGAGGAGTCCGATTTCCTTCAGCCATTTAACGAGCTTGGTGATGCCCTCCAAGAGAGTCTGAACAACGAACAATGGGTCTGAGTGTGAAAAGTCAATAATGATGTCGACGGGAAACTTCTGATGGTTAATCTAGGGCAGAACTTCATTTATATCGTTTATGTACAAAACAAACAGAAGCGGACCGACGACAGGTCCCTGCGGCACACCCATGCTGCCGGACACTTCAGGAGACAGCTTTCTGCCTACTTTTATCCCTTAGCGACTACCTGGTAAGTAGCTGATGAAACAGTCCAAGATGATACAAAAACACAAATGAATGCAGTTCTGTGATGAGGCATTGATGTCGGACTCTGTCAATTGCTTTGGAAATGTCAATCATGACAACGTCAGTTGTTCACGTGTTTGTATTTATTATTTACAGGATTTCCAAAAGGCATAGCCTATTGGGGATGTCCTAACAGTGAAAATGATCCTTGATTTATATACCCGTGAATCGACTTGTGCAGGCAAATATATACTGTTTATAATGAGCGCGAAATTTTGTCCGAAATTCTGAAACAGAATCTGTAGCGGTAATCTTGGGTGGAAGGCAATTCCATAATTTGCCGGCAAGAAAAGGAAAGATGAAAATTTCCCATGAGAGTTGAAAACAAGCTTGTGCGGTCTGCGTTCACTGCGAGAAATATTGATCTCAAAAAGGGATAAGATATGAGGTTGAAAGTGGATGATTTTGAAAAGAATTGTAATAGCGATGAGGGAACGTCTGATATGAAGTGATTCTAAGTTACACATACTATTTAAATAATCTTTGGATTTATATCTGGAGAACTGTGCGTCTTTCCATCTGTCCAATTCTCGCACAAGCGCACCCTCCGTCCAGTGACCGAAGCGGTATGCAAATTGCGTGCTAGGGAAAATGCCTTTCTCGTTGAGGTATTTGTTCAGTTGGTCGTTCACAATTTTCTCTTAAGCCTAGTTCACATTCGACGCAACGCTGACGATACAGGACTTACGGGCCTGTCAGGCCGGCGGGGCGAGGTGTAAAATTTTGTTGGATTCTTAGGACCAAACATGCTGCAGTCGTTGTGATGTTCAACAGCAAACTGCGCTAGTCATAAGGCTCGGTCAGTGAGGGGTGACATTCGTACTTAACTTCTTATTTTTTTCAATACTTTTTTCTATTATTTCTCTTTCAAATGAAGCGGAATCAAGTTCGCAGTACCAGTTTTTCATGGAGACCAAAAACGTAGCCTGAAGATTTTGCCATTCAAAAATAGCCCCAGGCAGTTATAATACAGTGTGTGTCACGCTCTTGAATGGTTAGCCATTCTGCGAGTTATCATGGAAAGCGCCATGTTCGAAAACTTAAAAATTTCCAAGTACGAATCGGGAGTAGTTAGCGCACGACGCCGTCTCCTGTACACACTCAAAAGCAGGCGCTTTGTATGCTTACTTCCTCGTCCACGTCCACGTCTACGATATGAAAGATGAACATTTACACTGATGTATATTATACATTGTTTATTTTTTTATTTTTTTATATATAAATTTTTTTGGTCCCATCGGCCTCTTCATATTTGTGCAGCTGCACTGTTGAGCTTCCGATGTAAAACAAAAATAATAATAATAATAATAATAATAATGAACTAATCAAACTTTTCCCGTAACTTCAAGATCAGTACAGTAGTACGTTGTGTTCTCGTTCTTGGTTTTCACATTGGACGCCGTCAGAGAATCCTGTCCCTTCCAGTCGATTCTTACGTCGCGTTCCGTCCCGCCCCGTCGAATATGAACTAGGCGGGACACGATCGAAAAGAGAGGTATCGAGCTACAGTTACTGGCGACGGTCACTGTCCCCACTTTGAAAAGGGGAGAAACATGCAGCTGGCACTTTCCCCGGTCCCAAGGACTCGTAAATAAGTCACTGAAGGAAAGGGCAAATGTGTAAGAGGTCATTTTAAGGGCCAATTCCGGAAGACCGTCACTCCCTGTAGCTTTGCTTTCGCTAACCTGAGCGAGCAGCTTGGTTACTTATTATTATTATAATTTTCCTATCCGTTCCCAAGGGGAACTCACGACAATGGAGTGAAAAAACATAAACAAAAATATAACATGGTGATGTGGAGATAATAGTGTTGCATACGTTGAGTACAAAATAATACAGATACAATCAGTGGTTCGGATGCCTGTAGACCCTGATATAGTAGTGAGCACAAGCACCGTCCACACACGTAAAACAGATCGTTGTTTGTAATGATTTTAGGATAAAAGATGCCAAGCATGTGAAGAAGCTGCTTTCGATGGCTCTTGTCGAGGGAGTCTTCCAGTGCCTTTGACCAGCCTGCGCAGCCAATGTTGTACGTAAGTATCGGGAGGACGTATGCGTTGTACAGCCTCATCATGGTGTTAGTTGTTAGGTGCTGTCGCCGGAGCCAAATATCTTTCTTGCGCCCAATAGCCGCTGCGTTAACGTTACAAAAACAGAATGGTACAGAATATACCTAGAACCAACGACACAGTCAGCAGTAACACACCAGTCCGTTATTCGTGGACAGGAGCCTTGGAGAACGGTAAAGACACTTGGCTCCTTGTATGGATCATGCTAAGATGTAGCACGGCGAATTAGCCTTTCCGCAGCGGCATTTGGGCGCATGAAAGAGATTTAGCTTGGTTACTTGGGCTGGAGCAAATGATTGGAAGCGAAAAATACCCTTAAGAGGACATGTGGTCCGTCACGACTCCGCGTGACTTTGTGTTGAGGTCGTCGAACGATGCCTGAGGTTCTTCTTGCGTCTTTAAACGGCCAGTAACTTAGTCGATAGTTCGCAGAGCAAATTCATGTGCATGTGTACTGAATGACTTAGGAACTACTTTACAAAAGCTGGCGGACCAGTAGGTCTCTCTGGCTCTGTTGTGAACCGTGAACATTTCTCCGCAGATCCGATGTTATACCATAGTCTATATTGTTTCACTGCACATGTTTGTTTTAATCTTTCAGTCAAATCAACACCCGGATCAACACCTGGATCAACACCTGGATCAACAACTGGATCAACACTTGGATCAACACTTGGATCAACACGTGAATCCTGTACGACAACTTGTGGTATGTACAATCTCAAATGAGTTGAGGAAAGCAAGTTGTAAAAGTACTTCCTCCGTATACAAAAACTTCGTGACTTTTTTTTGAAGGCTGCGCATAGCTCTGGAATTGTTCCGTTTGACTTGGAATAACACTCGTGGCATTGTCTAACCTGTTTACAAGCTATATACAAAGAAAAGAGCAACTCAGACGAATGAGATTGAGTTTATTCAGAGTCTTCGTCGCTCCTGTCATTGTCACCTGACGACGCTGACTCCGCATCGCCAAAAGTCGCTGCTTCGCTCGCATTTCGTTCAGATTCTTTTCAGCTGCAATTATGATCCGACGCGGGACTTTGGCTAGCGTACTCTTCATTCCCAGAGCTGTGTACGAATCGGTGTCGACTATATTCAGTCGTTCCAACCCGCGACCTCCATTATGCCGTGAAACGAGTCGCTCAAGCACATCCACACGCTTCGCATTTTCTCGGCAGGAGAATCCTCCCGAGCATTCTACAACGGCTGCGACGAGGTCCCTGCGATTCCCCTCCTAGGCCACAACGGAGACGTCTGATTGTAGTGGAGAGAGGCGAAGAAAGCCAGGTCGTCGACATTCCGATCCGGAGTCTGCGCTGGTTGCACGACGACTGAAATGTTTCATCTTTCCGTGCGAGCGAAACCGATTTATGTTCTCACGCTGCGTATGGGGCCGCGCGCCGAAAGTACGAGCCTGGCCAGTTTCAGGGCAGTGAGTGCCGCGTGAGTCGTGACTCCGTGCTCCAGGCCGGCGCGAGCTCCACTTCGTCACGGTGTCAGTTTCGAGCAAGTAAGTGTTAGTTTGTTTGATATTTGACTCGTGAGTTCCTGTCGGCAACGTCCTCACACGCATGGCTTCCGTGGAGAATCTGTTCGAGATCAACCAAACGTACCTCAACATGAATGTGCGTTGTCGATGACAGCCTTTGGCGCGGTTCGTTGAGCAGGTTCTTGCTCAAAAACACCGTTGAAAAAAGTCACGAAGTTTTTGTATACGGAGGAAATAGTACTCTATTATTTTAAAACATCGCGGAGGAGACAAAAGCCGTAGTTTTGTTATGAAAACCTGCGTTGAAATCAACTATTCAATGCTTTAAGGGAAAGACACAAACAGGAAAAGTCTGGAGACAAAATCGACTGCCACCAGACTGCGGACCACCAAGATTCGAACCATGGATCTTCGCTTGAAGCCAGCGATGCTCTAAGCACTGAGGTAAGGTGTAGACGTCATCAGAACAGAAACTGTCAACACCTTCTTCAGACTACGTAACTCACACTTCCTGTGAATCCACACTGCCGGATGGGACGCTGTAACTTGGGGCTCCCCGCGTCTTAGTTTGTGCTTGAAGTGTATGGGTTACAGTGAATTATTATTCGGCCAAAACAAACGAATAGTTTATTACAATGTATAATTTTTATGTAGGTAGAATGCATAGTTTTTTTGCAGCAACTGTAAAATACTGATAAAACAAGTGAAACTCGATCCGAGCACCTTTCAAAATTAGTTTGTATTTTCAAGTTTCTCAGAGGCTTCAGCCCTCAGGCACATGTATCTCGCTGGAGGTAGCGGCACATAAGTCGGTCGATGCACCCTTACAGTAAGTACACTTCTGCGCCATGCGTCAGGGTCCAAACCAGACTGTCCAGCCGATCAACGGAGCACCGCCAGGACTGTGTTCTTTATCAAGTCGGGGAAGCAACACATCCGGACTTGGCACAACAGGCGCGAGGTGTTTCTGACGTAGAATATCACCAACCGCTCAATCAGTGCCGCCCACTGGCACCACATCATCCATGGCAAGAACAGGCGTGCCACACAGCGCTTTCCCGCAATAGCTGTGTAACAGTGTGAGTGCCAGCACTTCATCATGGCTGTCACGTGCCAGCTTACTCTTATTAGGCTACGGCCTGTTAGCGCAATGTGCACCTGCAATACATCTATAAAGTAGCACTATTGTTCTAATAACAATGTCGAATCTAACAACACTGTCCTTCTGTACGTGCTGAACGGTTACAAGCCGAGCATATGAACGGCTGCTGTAACTCTGCCCTGGATCCTACGTTTACCAAACTGGCGTGGTCGATCATCATCAAAGCGACCCCTATGACCAGTTCTATCTTTTAAGCCGCGATGAAACGTGTCCCTCTTGTCGAGGAGCTCGGTAAGATGTCCATTTTTCCATAACCCAAGATAGCGCTCCAATAGTTTGCCGCAATCCTTGCCTGCAGTGAAACGCCCTACGCCTTTTAGTAATGAAGAGCGTAGTATGAAGAACCTATACAAGGAATCACCATCAATTGAATTTTCGTAGTTCTGTAGAGAGCACAAGAAAAAAACCTTGCTTGAAAGCCCCATTGCGCAGATCAAGAAGATTTTGTTGCCGCGGAATAACCTTGCTATGGGCACGGACGACAGTATTGCATGGTTGGGCTGGAGTGTGTACTTTTCTTTGAGGAAATTGAGACAGGTGCATTATCCGACCCATTAGCAGGGCCTTTACTATGCGGCAAGTCAACACAAAGACGCAGCTGGGAACATTCAATAGCGCATCCACTGCCATTTTTGTGTGATTCTCAGATATCGTTAAACATCCTGGGGAAGCCGAACATTATTACCTTCCTTATTGGCCTTGGGCCATCGTGGAAATATAGAAGAAGTTGGCGGAAGGCGTGTATGCATTACCATATTGCTAGGTGGGTTTTCCAACAGTTCTCTACAATTCGAGCGCAAAAATTTAATATGATCACAGCGTTTTCAGATTTTCCATCCAGTTACCATGACATGATTTTCACTTCCAAAGCTATGCTTTGTAAGGGAAAACCATAGATCATAGAACTGTGTCCAGGCATCACAAAATTGAGTTTAAAACGCATGTACAGAATCTGTAGATCTTGGAACGTACAATGCGCTGTGTTCTCTCCCCTACAGCGGAAAATCAAACCCAGACGACATACACACTTGGCACTGTGATCGGCAGTGTTGTCGGCGGAATCGTAATCGGGATGATAGCAATGATGGTGGTGGCCATAATAGTATATCGGAAGATACCAAGAAAACCGGTCAAGACCGAAGTTCCAGGTCAGACACAAAATGCAGCCTATGAAGACGCTGATATTGCGGAGAGTTCCCTCACCAGAAGTGATGCTTATGGCGTTGTAGAATCAGCCCCGCAACCACAGTATGAATTTGTTTGCCCGCAGTAACCCACTAATTGGGCGCATTTCATCATTTTCTGCAGTTTAGTGTGCTTCTCTGTGTTCTTTGCCTATTGTTTTTCCTCAGCACAATTTATCTCGGTATGCATTCTTGCATTTCTACCCCGTCGCAACGATTTTCTTAATCAGTTTGTTTTGCAACTCCTCATTTTGGTGTTTAGGTTTTACGGTGTTATTCCAAACAATACATGGCTGGGGTAGCCAATGACCACTTTACGTGGCGATTGCAGGATTTTTATAGCCAACCACAGCATATTGTCCACCGCCTCCTTTTTCTCACTCTATCTTTGGATTGTGTTCATCAGGGAGCACGTGAATTCAGGCATTGACTTTCAAACACGGCTTTTTCCTTGCTGCTCAAAAAGCGTAAATTTCCAATATATTCCTTCAACTCATTCTGTCCTCAGCGCAGCAAACAACTCATCCATAGCTAACGTTAGGCTCATCACACTCCCACAACTACCCCAAACAACATTTGCCATAGATCGCGTTAACCTTTTCCAGGGTTATAGGAGGTACATAAAATCTGGTTCCATTTCGCTCAAGTAACTTGTAATGTGGTTTCTTCTTTTCCAATATTCCCTGAGCTACTCCATATGCATGCGCACAGTTCAGCCCGTCCTTTCCTCCCAATTTTTATTTCCGGAATTATTTCTCACGATTCTCGTTTTAAAACTGTTGCATATTTCTATTCCTTATCCAGATGCGTTTTCCAAGTACATGAATGGCATTTTAATATCTCACTTCACTGGAAAAGAAGAATACAATTGATGCATAGAGCTTTTGGGATTGCAGTAAACAAAACCAGATGAAGCGTCATTTCACGAACGTTTTATTGAGATGTCACGAACACATTCTAGAGAAAGTGGTGATGGACAAAGAAATAAAAGGACTGTGGGTGGGAATGTAATGAAATTAAAGTAGAATAAATCACATGGAAACGAGTTATGAAGCAACTATCCACGACTGTAACAAAATAATAAGAAAGTGCGATAATAGGGCACAAAACTGACATGTCAGCTCTCTCACACCTCCAGTGCTGGTTTCTCAGCTAGGTCTCCGGTCATTGGATGTCAAAGTAACGTGTCATCTGCACGAGCAAGAAGCTATTTATATTTACACTACTCACTATACAAAGGTGGCTGATCCAACTAGTTATTGAAGCGTACATTTGGTGTTTTGTTTTACACAGTACGTGTTTTAATTCCTCTTGTCTCACTCCTCACATTCTCCTCATCTCTTTCCCCTCCTTCGTATCAGCCCTTGTGCATAACATCTTCGCTAATTTCATCACCTAGTTGCAGTGGTTACCACCCTTATGTTTCATTGGTTCTGGTTGTTTGGAATGCCCAAAACTAGTTCCTGAATTTCGGAATCCCATTAGATGATGATGGTGAAGAATAGCTTGAGTTTCGTAGTGTTTTGTATCTTCTGTACCTATAATAAGAAACAAAGCGGTACAGATTACGCTTTTATATCCAATGACACCCCGAGAACGTTGGCAGATGTACAAGTACGTCGAGTACGATACTGGAAAGACCATCAGACTAAACGGTCGAACCACAATTCAACGACCATAGCAACATACCACACAACTTGTCTGGCTCTTATGTCGGGGTGAAACAATTATACCGAATACTCGAGTACTCGCTCGGTTTTTTCAAAAATAATCGTACTCGGAATAAATCAGAGTACTCGTTCATAGATGGTACGGGCATTTACCACAGAAATCAGCAGTTTCAGAGCAGCAGTCGGCAGATATTGATGTGCAGAGTGTGTGGTGCACATTTGTTCACGAGTAGAGAGAGCCCAAATGACCCACCAACTATTATCCCCGAGAAAAATGACTTCTACTTGGTTCAATCAGGGTTGTATCATGTGATTTTAAGGCCCTTGGTGTGCAATTTTTAGGAGATGAAGACTACTCGAATACTCGAATATTCGATCGGAGAAAATCAGAGTACTAGAACTCGGGATCTCAGTGTCAACTTTCACCCCTAATCTTATGATTCGAAGATCCATTATTCACTGCTGAGACTGTCAGCTCGTGCTTATCTTGTTTGTGGTCACATTCCTATCATTATGTTCTTTACAAAAGAACCTTCCATGTTGAAAGGCTGTTGGAATGCGCATCCCAACCGCTCTAGAGCTGATTGCCAGGTAGGTGTAGAACGCCAGTACCGTTCGTCAGTGTCGTGCAATTTTATGGCAAGAGCTAATTTTTAGTTACTGCTGGTGTTATTGGATATCATAGCGTAACTTGCAAACCGGCTTTGGTAGTCTTTTCTTATTATCAATTGATCCATGGCTCTCCGCCCGAGTATATCTCATCTATATAATATATGTAATATTCAATTTGAGGACAGATTTGTTTAATCCTCTGTGGACTCATCAGCGGAGCACAGAGGAAATGAGGCCGAACCTGATAGCATGAAAAATATAATTTCCAAAGCAGGATTTAAAGGAGAAGTTCGTTGACAAATTCAAATTTCAGAACCTGATAGCATGAAAAATAAAGTTTCCAAAATGACGGCTTTGAGCAGCAAAGCCAAGTAAGTTAGCCAACGCACGCACTTGTTGGTCACGGGTTCGTCACGCGCCACGTGCATCTGATGAATAAAAATTATATTTTTTCCGAATATGGCGGATGTAAAAAATATAAGTTTACGCTTTGCCTTGCCTTGTGTCAGCAAAGCAACATACTTGTCAACAAGTTCTGTCGTGCAGCTGGTCAAGGTGACTCGGGGCTGTGTTTTCTTTCGTTTACAATGTCACGGGATGGTTTCACTGCGAGGCAGTCAGCGCAGCTGCAAGAGATGATCGCCGCGTCCATCTCGGCAGCTTTGCCATAGTTGGCGGCCTCTGCTCCTGCTCCGACAGCAGACGCGCCCTTGATGTGCCCGAAGTTCATAATGAACCTGACGATCTCCTTCTAGATCGCCAGCCAACCGTGACAGCCAGCCCACCCTCTGTGCCTGTACTATCAGCAGCAACTTCGTTCCCGACGCCTGCCGCGGTAAGCCTCGAGCTTCTGCCGTTTTTGGCCATTGGAGCATGACATTTACCACAAAAGTACTCAGGGGGGATTTACTTATACCAGCTGCCTGTTGCTCCCCGCCGGCCCCATCAACTCCGCCGAGGAACCGCTTCAGAAGCGCATTCGCTTCTCCGAGCAAGATTGACAGGCCGGTTGGTGGTCACAGCAGCATCTGCGGCGAAAACCAAGATTGCGTCCCTCAGCATCTGGCTTGAGGCATGGACGATTTACTGCTGTATCATTTCTGACCAGCAACTGATCAAGTCTCAGGAGCTGTGGGGATATCAACTACAGGTTTTGCAGGGGGCCAAGAGGTTTAGATGGGCGGCAGTAGCTGAATCCGATGTTCAGTTCTGCCAGAGAGTGTCACGCTGCTTGGAGGTGCAGTGGGAAAAGATTGACATGGACCCATACACCCATTGTTTCACCCGCCAGTTCCTGTCATTTTGCTTCGCCTGTACCAAGTACGGACATGTTGCTGCGTCCTGCTTGTCTACCTCACGCTCCCCAGGACAAAAGTCCGCGGGCAGCACCACTCACACCTGTGACGCCTTCAACAAAGGCATGTGTAGCGTTCGCATCTGTCGATACCGCGATGTGTGCTGCTCCTGCGGAACCGGTGGCAACGGCCTCACCAAGAACAAGTAGTTTGCCTTCTGATGCACCGCTACCGCTGTACCGCCCGTCTACCCCAGTGGACGTCGACGCTTTGGCAGATGAACTTGTAGCGACCTGCCTCACTGAGTATTACGTCATTCTACAAACGCATGCGCAAGAAATAAAATCATTCTCTTTGGTCACAACTTCTTCGTTGTCCGGTTGGCCAAAGTAGCCGTCGTCTAGGGCCCGACCTAAAACCCTTATATTGGTGACCCCAGACGCTGCGCTCTTCGGAATTTTGAGCATGCCATCCCTGAGCTCGGCCCGCCACAGTTTCCTGATCGCCTCAACTCTCGGGATCCCGTCTATCGCCGGCTGTTGACGTAAAACTTGAGCCTCACCACCACTCGTCACTGGATCCGCCTCGGAGCTGCTGTGGCCCCTGCCACCCTCCCGGCCCACCTGGATGGCCCGCTATCCTGCCACGGCTCATTGTCCAGTCGTCTTCGTCTTCGTCCTGGCCTCAAGCTGGAAATTTGCCACCTCCGACCGTCGTACCAGCTCATTCACTGTGCACGAACGCAGGCAAACGCCCGGCACGGGACCCCATGGAGCTTCGCTCGCCTCCATCTGTCCCCGCCTCAGTCGGCACGCCTCGCATCAGTGCAACGCTCCTGCTGGTATCCCGCCAAGCCTGCAACATGCAGCCGCCTCTGACATGATAATACTCCTCTGTCACGCGTACATTTCCTTTCTTTCCGCCTCTGACACGATAACACTCCTCTGTCATGCGTACGTTTCCTCTTTTCTGTCTTTCTGCCTCTGACATGCTCTCCACCTCTGTCACGTTAACACACCTCGGACACGTTAACCCGCCTCTGTCATGCATCTCTCTCTTTCCTGCTTTTCTGATTTTTGTTTCGGCATTTCTGCCACGTTGTTTAACAAATTTCATACACGCAGCGCTCTCGCTTGTACATATGTATCATATTATTATTTTTTTGCCTTTCCGCCTTGAACATGCTGCGCCTCCTTTCTCTTCTGTTTCTTGTTTCTTGTTTACCGTGCTTCGCTCCTCCCGACCTCACCACTGGCGGGGGAGTACTGTAGCGACCTGACTCACTGAGTATTACGTCATTCTACAAACGCATGCGCAAGAAATAACATCATTCTCTTTGGTCACAACTTCTTCGTTGTCCAGTTGGCCAAAGTAGCCGTCGTCTAGGGCCCGACGTAAAACCGTTTAAACTCACTAACTACCCCGATGATAGCGGAATGGTAGCAGCACTTAGTCATGGTTTAATGCACGGTTTTAGTATTGGTTACGCTTGTCTCTGTTCTTTTGCTAAAGGTAACTAATCTTCTACAAATAACACATAGTATCATAAAGCAGAAAACGAAATATTTCGAGGGCGATATGCACACACACACACACATATACCTGGTCCTTGTCCTGGTAAACACTGCCATTACGGTCAGGTGTCCTATTGAGGGGTCGTCAATATGGAACGACGAGCGACGGCAATCCGCTGCGAAAAAAAGAAAAAAAGAGAGGTCAGGGACTCACGAACCATGTTCGGGAGAGCCATCTCTGGCAGCTATTGATCTGGTTTATCATCGGAAACGATTCCTCTCACGGATGTCGCTTGAACTGGTGCATCACTCTCCACAACATATCAATCATTCCATGAGCCAATGCTCAGAGTCATTCCAAGTCGTCGTCTTTGTGCGGTAGTTTAATCCATTCGCGGGCTTGCAAGGCCTCGTGACCTACTCCGGAGTGGGGGCGACGAGGAGAGTGTCGGCAACGTAACTATCCGACCAAATCCACAAATCCTGAAGAATTGACCGCCACTATTCAGCCTGGTCTACACCACACCGCTATGAAGTGGCTTTTTCTTGCCAGTGAATCCCTACTTTTTGGTCTTTTTTCTTTTTTTTCCGCACACACATCACACCACATACTCCAGCATGCACTGGCTGTTGGTAACCACTCAGGAGAATGAAAGAAAAGACACACACACACACACACACATACACACACACCATAAATCTGAAACGGCATCCGTTTGCACTTACACACACACATACACTCAAATACACCCAAACGCACACAACACACACACACACTAGAGACCATTTATCTGAAACGACATGCGTTTTCACTCACATAGCAACCGGGTTGTACATGGGGTAGTGGTCTACCAGAATGTACTCACAGAATGAACTCAGTATTCCGTCACACCACACTCGCAGCCACACACTAGCCAAAAACTAGGCCAGAAGTAATAAAGAGCAAGGCGGCCAGCAAGAGATATGTCAGTGCAAGACACGAGCAGAGCAATGTCCTGGTGTGGGTGACTGGCCAGTGGGGGAGCGCCTGAAAATCCGACTCCCTAAATTTCCAGCCACGACCGCTCAACCGGGCTGGGGGAAAAACTCGCCTTGCGGCCAAAAAACCCTTCTACTAATATGGGACCTGCCCCACTGCCAGTCACACCCAAAAGAAAAACCGAAGAGAAACAAGCAGAAAGGAGTAATCATACCTCGAAAAACACCCAAAAAAACCCGAGACCCTCGGGACAGAAACACACAAAACAAAGTATGCCATGGAAAACCAGTAAAACAGCACCCAGTGGAAGCCCAACAACGTACGGGACCCAAGGGAGGGAGGGCGGGAAAACTCCACGCTCTACGATGAATACAAGACCACGATGGCAGGTGGGGGAGAGTTGCGCAGTGGAAGAGCAGCAGAGCACGACAGAAAAATGGTGAGTGAAAAATACGTTTTTTACACTCTTTCGCTACGCTCAGCCGTGAAAAAACAACACTTTTCACTCACATAGCAACCGGGTTGTACATGGGGTAGTGGTCTACCAGAATGTACTCACGAAGCAAAGGATAGTCAGGCAGAAGCAATGGCAGTGGAGACAGAAAGCAAGTCGTGCTGTGAATCCGCGATGTACTTATCCTTGGAGGACGCGGACCTCCAGCCGCCGTGTCGTTGCAGTAGTCTGTCCGCAATGCCCGAGTTAGCTGCGGCCGTCGCACCACCTGATCGGAGGCTGTGGAGACCATATGATGTTGCGTCAGTTTGGGTGCGGCCCACCGCTACTTTCAGGAGTTCCGTGGCTCTGCTGTAGCTCATGGTGCCGCGCACGCCTGGCCCAGAGCGGGCGGAGGTTACCTTGCCCAGTACGTGTTGGTCGGGTGAATGTCCTGCTTGCCGGAGAAAGCTCTCTGTTATGCGAACCGGGCATGGCATGGAGCCGGTGAATTGGCGAGCGACCAGAATTACGTCCCCTTGCCTCAGTTGGTCGTTCTTGCGGCTTGGCAGGTGCACGGACATATGTGTCGGGGTAAAGTCCAGCGAGGACACCACGAGGCGCTGCAAGTCGTCCCAGCGCAGTAGGGCGAAGAACCCAAGACAAATCATGGTGGCACATTGCAGGTCCCCCAGTGGTGCCTCTGGTTGGGCCAGGGTGGACATCAGTTGGCGGAACAGGGACGGTGAGATCGGAGTGCGGCGGGAGACGGGACGTGCACAGATACGGCGAGCGGCAACTTGCAGTTGCGTGATGACCGGTGCCGCGATCGGATCTGGGTGACCGGCCTTACGGTGCAGCCAACGTAGAGCCGCGCAGCCTTGTACGACAGGGGCAAACGTCGTGCCTTGTTGGATCAAACTCGTTAGGTTTAGCGCCACGTGGACTGCGCGAGCTGGGAACGAGGTGAATCCGGCCCCAGAAGCCCATGTACGCCAGCAACCGAATGCCTGTAGGTATGCCCTGCCTGTAGAAGGCGCCACGTCATTGAGCAGGACGACCGGTAGCGCGTCGACCAGGTGTTGAACGGCGGGATTCCGTATGGATGCCAGTTCCGTCCAAAAAGGGGAGGACGCTGAATAAGGCACATGCAAAACGCACGCACACACCCACAGACAGGAAAAAGACACACGGGGGATCAGATCTGGACAGACTGTGTGTTGTTCCTGTGAGTTTGATCGGTGTTCAGTCCCGGTATTGTGGGTTTCCGGACTCCCCCACCCGGTGTACCTCCCAGGGGTCTAACCCTCCTCTGCCTCCAACGTCACCGTTACCCCGTGTGAGATGTATGTCGTGTAATTTATGAACAGAGTGAATCGGGTAGGGGACCACGGGTGACACCGGCTGCCCTGAACGACCCGGGCTTCATGTCGCCGCAGCGTCACGCCTCATACCAGCATGCACACAGGCAACCATTGCCAACATCACCGCCCATCGGGCTTCTCCCTCCCTCATCCTCACTGCCCATCGGGCTTCTCCCTCCCTCATCATCACGGCCCATCGGGCTTCTCCCTCCCTCATCATCACTGCCCATCGGGCTTCTCCCTCCCTCATCATCACTGCCCATCGGGCTTCTCCCTCCCTCACCATCACTGCCCATCGGGCTTCTCCCTCCCCCGTCATCACCGCCCATCGGGCTTCTCCCTTCCTTGTCGTCCCTGCCCCTCGGGTGTCTCAATCCACATGGGTATGTGTAAGTTCATTGAATAGGCAATTCACGCAGAAAAAATGCCCTATACTAAAAAATGGCAGGAACAGAACAGCATAGGCAGCAAGCGCAAGAAAAAACACTAAGAGACATCAATAAAGGCAACCTCATGGCGGGCGATGGACAGCACAGGGGAGGGGGGGGGGGGGGGGGCAAGGTAACCAAAAATTCTAACTAAGGCCGTGTGGTAAGACCCCTAATGAGCACAGTTTCGGAGAGAACAAAAACGGACTGCATGAAAACGGAATGGTGGTGGTTCTGGTCCAAAAAGACAGACCAGTTGGGATGTGTGCCGAAATGAGCCGAAACCGGGCTGGAAGGTTTCTCGGGTAACGGTGAACGGGGTTGCAAGCCCACCTGGGCGCCAGAACGGCCACCATGGTGCTGATGGCCAGTCAGGAAACACAACAGTGGCATGACACGGTATGGCTCTGAGGAAATGAAACAATTTGCTTAACAAGCGAGGTGGGGGGAGACACCAATTGCTTTCACCTTCCCATGATTGAGTGAAACAGTCAACAGCCGACGAACCTGGGGACCACCAAAGGGAGTTGAAAGTAGGGAGTTGATGGGACAAATGACTCGCAAATCTATCGACAGTATTGGGGCCCCACTTCTTATCAAAATAAACAAACAATTCGGCCGAAATAGCCCAGTCATCCATGTCTAGAATCCGTGAGAGATAGTCAGCCGTGGTATTTTCACCCCGGGGGATCCACTGTGCAAACAGTTCAATGTGTTCGCGTTGACAGAAACGAAAAATGTCAACAGCTTCTTGGTGCAGCGTTGGGTTACGGCTACCGTTACACAAAATGGACACCACGTTCTGGTTGTCGGTATTAAGACAAATTGCATGGCCAGACAAACGCGACACTAAAGAGATTAGGGCAAAGCGGGCAGCAAGCAGTTCCCTCAATGTGGAGCTGGTGTGTGCGGCTGACATGGTCCAGGGCCACTCGCCCCTTGCAATTTCAACCCCCGTTCATCAGGCTGAAACCACCCCACCCGGAGTCACTAGCATCCGTGAATACCAGTTGCAGCGTGCGGGGCCCGGCAGACCAGATGGGTCTCCCGTGAAAACGATCAAATTCAGATTGCCAAAAACTTTATGCAGCCTTAGCACCATGCTCAAGTGGGATAGCTATCTCCCAGCCTTCTTCTAGGGTTGGGCCCAGACATGCGTGCAAGCTTCTTGTCTGTAAGCGCACCACGCAGCCCAGAGCAAGCCACATAGAGCTCAGCGACCCTGTTAGTTTGGCAAGCAAGCGTGCGGGGACCACAGTGGGGTAAGACATAATCTCAGCTAGCAGCAGTTTAAATTTTGATACGCGGTTTGGGGTGACATGAATGCTGTTGTTGGCCGTGTCCAGGACATGACCCAAGACCGAGGCCACCTGATGGGGTTGAAAGTTACTCTTTTGCTTGTTAATGACAAGACCGCATTTTTCCAAATCTGACCTCACAAGTTGGGCGACCCGCTGCGTCTCCTCTGCGGAGTTTGCGGCTCCAGTTCCGTCATCCAGATACAGGAAAATACGTATGCCTTGGTCACGCCAATGGGTGACCAAAGGCCGCAGCACTTTTGTAAACACAAATGGGGCGGGCTTAAGGCCAAACGGAAGTGCGGCAAACACAAAAAACCGGGCCTGACCCCGGAACTGCCATTGAAAACCTAGGACCTTCCTATGTTCTGGGGCAATCGAGATGTGATGGTAGCCATCCTTCAGATCAAAAGTGAACAGGAAACAACCCGGATCGAACAGGTCCGGGATGAGTCTCAGGTCCTCAACGCTAAAATGGGAGTCTGCCAAATGCTTATTGAGGAAGCGGAGGTCTATAATCAGCCTCTACTTTCCGTTGCCCTTGGGAACCGCCTCCAACGGACTAATCACATGGGTGGCGTTTTCCTCCACCATCTCGACTGCCCCCGAACGTAACAGCATACGGATTTGGTCAGACACAAAACTAGAATGATCATTAGAAGACTTTAGGTTACATGCCCGGAACTTTGGTGGGGGGGGGGAGACAAAACACAAAAAATAGCCATAACAAATGATACGTAAAACAAAATCTGAGGCACCAATATTTTCCCAAAATGCAATGCAGTGTAATAACCGCCCATGAACGTTAATGTCACAAGCACTTATCTCGTCAGACTCCAGCGGGTCTGGGCACTCATGCTCCGTCCATTCGTGGACGAGCTCCTGCAGTGGGCTGTGGTTGCTGAGTCCAGTGTGGTTGGCGACTACTGCCTCGGTCGAACTGGGGGCAATGCCTGCTGACGTGACCCAACTGTTGGCAGTTCCAGCAACGTGGGCCGCTTCCAGGGGTTCGGCCACCGTTGGCAAACGGTCCGTGACCCGATGGCCTCCGCTCAAACTGGGAGTTGTTGCCGAAACTTGGGGCACGAAACTTCCTGCTCGGGTATGGCCTCTCAGTTTCAGGTTGGAAGCACTCCCTGGGCTGCAGTTGCTTGAGTCGACTAGCAGTTGAGGCCGCGTCCGCGATCCGTTTGTCGTCAGCGAGGCTGTCACCCACGCTGCCCTCCTCATAAACTCTCACAGTCTCCCAGTCGAACGAATCTGCTATTTTCAGGTGCTTCTGCCTTTTGCAGATTTCGTGCTTACCCTGCGTCAGGAGTTCCTTGGCCTCGGGTGCGGAGTCCGGGAGCACCGATATGGCGGCATCCACCTTTTGCAACACAGTTTCATTGGTGGCGAACTGGGCCTGCAGCCCTGGTGACTTGAGTTTCGGCTTTGGGGCCTGGGTTATTTGGCTTGTTAGGGACTGCGCTGCTTTCAGTTTTGCCACCTCAGCGCGGGCCGCCGTGGCCTCCTCCTGCACTCCCTTGATTTGTGATGACAGGTTGGTAAATGCGGAGGCGAACCACGACGGCATCTCCTCACCTGCCGAGCTTTGTGTTGGTGGGGCAGGTGAGGTGGCGGAGGTGGCGGCTGGGCGTCGTCTGGCGGTCCTGGCAGGCTCAGGATGAGCTACAGGAGCCGTGGTTCCTTGGCTGCGAGTAGACGGCATAATTTATTACTTTAGATCTCCGGACGTCAAAAAACTCCACGCTCTACGAGGAATACAAGACCACGATGGCAGGTGGGGGAGAGTTGCGCAGTGGAAGAGCAGCAGAGCACGACTACGACTACGCTACGCTCAGCCGTGAAAAAACAACACTTTTGACCGGCTTTAACAGGCTACGATTTACTTTGTCCACAACAAGGCAATACGGGCCACCAGCGCCAGCTATCTCATTTTAGACAGCGAGTGAATGCGGCACACATACTACAAACAAGAGCGCGTACAATACCAAATTTCTCCTTTTGCTTATGGTCGTCGAATACGGCAATAACGACACATGAAACACACAGAGGAACACAAACTAGGTTCCACAGTGTACACACATACATGTACGTGCATGTACAATGTATACACAGCTATGTATTTGTATTTGCGTGGTTTCATGCTCACATGTAAGGAGTTTATGTATACGACATGTATGGTCTATGTTGCTTGAGTACGCCCATTTTGAACGTCGAAGTTGGACTATACAGGGCGTGAACAGGTGAGATCGTTATGTCTAGTAGATAATAGAGAGGTTCCGCATAACGTAATTACGTTAGTAAAAAACGTAGTCGATCTACGGAAAGTCTTACGTAAACTGCATGCGCATCTGTGTTCCGCCATACGGAATTTTCAAATCACGTAGCTGCCCTTGGCAACTCCGAACGCGGCAGTGTACGACCAGATCGACCTGGGGAGAGAGTCATAAATTTGTACCCCAATCCACTTACGGACCAGCTACGTTATCAGAGCCCTATCTACGTACTCTACGTAGACAACTTTCCGTAAGTAGAGTGCAAACTCGCGAATTCACGGGTTTTCCCCACCCACTAACGTAAAGTTGCTCAACTTTACGTAGTGCGGAACCTCTCTATTATCCTTACCTTTCCCGCCAAGGACATCGGAATATTCAAACTCCATGGTGCTTCAACTTCATTTGTTGTTATTGGTGTTGTTGTATTCTTTTATTTCAACTCACTCAGGGCACATGCAACATCGCCTTCTCACCAGAGAGAGGATTCTCCGATTCTTACCAAAAACGAGAAATCTGCGATATGAATATGTATGAGAAAGATATGAGAAAAATTAATAATGATGATGTCGGATTACGATAGTTTAGTTGTTATGCGAGATTTCCCTGACAGATGAAGCGTTTCTGGAGGCAAATGTCCAGAAAGGATGCGAGAACAAATATACAGCGTTCCGGAAGGCAATGATACACATAAATAGAGCATAAGGCAATGGTGCAGAAAAGAGGTGAGAACTTACAAACAGGGCAATCGTGCAGAAAAAAGAGGGAACTGAAGAACTAACGATCCTAGAGGCTAATATACAAAGAGGTAGGGACCAGCGACTCAACACTGTGTCAGATGGTACTCTTGAATTCATTCTTTTGTGATACACATCTAACTTCAGCCTGGAACTTATTCCAGAGAATGGCACCTTGGAAGCGGATGGAGGACCGTCCAGCAGGACCCGGAAGGAAGGGGACACGTAAGAGCCATGTCACCTGTCCGCGAGTGGCCCTTCGGTCATTATCTGCTTGAGAAGGTGCGGTTGGGGTGAAGAAAGACGAGAACAAATGACTGGACAGAGAGTGCAGGCAACGGAATACAAACATGGGGAGCTTTCGCTGAAACAACCTCTCAATGGTGGACAATGAGAGTTTCTCTCGTAGCGGCTGAGTCGCGATCGGGTTCTGCAGTCGTAGGATTGCTCGAACCCCGGACTTCGCCGATCTTTCGAGCCGAGTGAGACCAGCTACAGACAGCGAATGGGAAGAAGGCGTTTGCGGCATAGCACAGCTTGGCTTGTATCATGGCAACATACCATATCCCGCGGGCCGTGATGCTAAG